CACTCATATGTGATATTGGTAAGCAGTCATATGAATGAAGACAAAGCAGGGTGCAATTGCTGTTTATTTGAATGATGTGGTGACGGATACATAGCTCAAAGTGTGGTTTTGGTGATGAAGTATCCACCCAGAGGAATAGATCATCCTATCTGTGAACCAGCCTAGAAGAAGAGATAGGAATGGGTCACAACAAAAGTGATAGAGTCTCTCAGAAAGCCACAGAAAGGAGTGACGTGAGAGTTAGGTCTAATCTAGTTCCAAAGTCACTCCAAGGTCATTAAAATCTGAGGCTTTTCTCGATTATCCTCTGGCATTTCCTCATCTAATCTTGAATTGGCAAAGTGGCGGACATGACTTCAGAAAAAGTCCAACTATTTGAAGTCATGTTAGTCAAACCATTCCCAAATCAATTTTAAATGCATTTTTATTGATTTTTTGAAAAGGGCATGACATGCGTGCACCACAAAAGAGCAAATTGACTTTTATCGTGTAAAACAAGACCCAAATCACATAGTTTTATGGTGTAGAAACAATTTGAGTTTTAAACAAAATTAAAATTAACAATGTAGGCCTCACTGCTCATCCCTCACCTCCATGGGTGCTTCTCCTTTCTTCTTCTGCATGAAGATTGCTTTTGGCTTTTCTTCTTCACCACATGCACTGTGGACGAAAGTTACAGGGGAGCAGGAGTTTTTATGGGATTATTTACCTGACCCCCGCAACTGCTCAAATTGGAACATCGTACCTGTCCACGTCACGGAGCTAGGATATTTACCAGGTTTAATGACTTTTTACAGGAAATAGCAGTAAAAACAGGGATTTTTCCCGGAATTAAGGAATCTTCCTTGTAAAAATTCCTAAAACCCCGTAAAGACAAGTATCCCTGGACTCCCGTAAAAACCCATGTATCCTGTAAATCAATATTCAAATCATAATGATGAGAGCCAGCATGTGCAAATGACTGTAATACCTCATTTTTAAAAACGAAGTTTACTTGCACCGCAATATACCATTCTTGCTTTTGGGGTGTAGCGCAATATACAAAGGGGATCGATAAATCAATACAAAGAAGTAATATAGGATATCTATAGTCTGCTCTCTCATTGTAATAGGCTCTTGCGGCATTTGGAGATGAATATGCGGTAAGAGACGGCTTTTGCTCAATTGCATATCTGTTCTGCGCAGATTTCAGTTTTTGCCTTCTGATGAAGCATACCTGAATACATCTTTGAAACCCTCAATGTGATACCACGCCGCAAATGTCAAGGTAAACACACACCACTACGTATCTCTTCTCTTCTTGATCCATCACCGCACTCCCTGGCAGAAACTTTTGAATGTTTCCAACATTCGTCTGCCTTGGCTGCAATTTATTATTGGCCATTTTGCCATTTACATTCACTATGTTCCCAGAATTCAACAATGATGTTAGAAAAATATGAATAATGGTCTCGCACCATAAGACAAAGTTCGTTCTTACCCACTATTGACATCTCAAACTACATGGCTTGCCTTTATTGGAGTCTGTCTGAGATCATTCCGTAATCTTTAGTTTCTTGCAATTTTGCAATGATCGTCATATAAAACACATCATCTAGGTACGCACCATATTCTTTTGGAACAAATTGAATAGCATCTTTCCATCACATTCTGCCGCGGTCCTTATTACGGCCTATAAGGACAATACACCACAGCCACAGCTAAATAATCTCAATGGGCACATGAGCTGGTATGATGAACATTACATCTTCGATCAGACCGTTCTTGTCAGATAATCACTGTATCAAACCATGGTTATTCATTCATCATTTACCATTGAGCACGGACAAGTCCACAATATCATCAAGCTCTTTCCTTGCTTTTTGATATCGTCTCTTATTTTGTTGTTGTCTTCAGGCAAATGGCCTCTTCCAACTGCTGGGTTTTTGCTCGTAGTCAAGAATTTTGAACTGTACCTGTTTGTACTGGATATTGTACAAATAATTGCCTTGAATTTTTTGAAATTCATGTTACAGATGTCGCTAAAAAGTTTTATTTAAAGGAGGTAGTTTTCCAAATTGAGATCAAGTTGACTAACACGATTGAGAAAACTAATATTGAATATCGCCAATATTGGCAATTTGTCCACGATGATGACGGATCGTGGAAGATACAATATGACAAACGTGCAAAGAAAAAGAAGTGAAAGTCCCCAAACAACTCCGACACCTGACTCTTTCAGCGATGGGGCCTCTTCGCGCTTTGTGAAATGTTCCCTTCATCCAAAAGTTGCAAATCTTTTCCAAGGATACATCATCTTGCACTCAAGCCGATAAGCATCCGTCTGCCTCATGGGGGACCTACATGTTCAATCAAACACCACCAAGCTTTCGCGGGAAGACTTTTCTGACTACCATAATCCCTCACTCAAGCGAAACCTATCTTGTCCCAATTGCAACACCGAAAACCAAGGATATGCATTGAGACACAAGGAGACAAATTTGTCCGGATGGACAACAGAATATGTACATTGCTCGGCTTGTTTGTAATACGGCCTGCTGTGGTCATCAATGGTATCTATGTCGCACATGTAAATGCTCAACTGATCTAGGTCAAAAGATATAAAAACACACTCAAAATGCATGAGAGATGGCGATCAAATCGCAGGAGTGGATGACACGGAACAAGGTTACTTAGTAGAAGAAGCCTTTGATCAGGACTATGAACCTGAAGATGAAGATGAACATGATTTCAACCTACATGGACAATTTGATGATATCAATGACTCCAAAAGAGAAGAGCTCTTGGCAGATGCAGACAATGATGTCGATGATATGCCAGAACTCACTGTCAGATTCCGTGGAGATGATGACTATGAATCAGATGACAATTCGGGTGATGAAGGCAATGAAGAGGAAGAACCTATTGGTGTGGCCAATTTGGATCACTATCAAGAAAATGTTGATAGAGGAACCAATGATATTGGGAGCCTTGTTACTAATCTGGAGGACCTACAAGAGCCACCAGAAGAAGAGATTGTATTTGAGCCTGAAACGCCTCAAGTAGCCAAAGTCACTCAATCTGGGCAAACGTATGCGCAAGTTGCAATGTCAGGGCTGAACCTTTCTCAAGTTCCAAAGAAACCAAGAGAATGGCCTTCAAGCAGGAGTGGCAGTTCTGCCAATAAGAACAAGAATCAAGTTGCGACAAGACACAAGCATTGAGAGAGAGAATTGGAACCGTTGAAGAACAAGTTGTTAAAATCTGGTACTTGTACCAAAGAAGGAAGTCGCAGTACTAAAGACAGTAAAGCTATCCTTGAAGCACAGCACAATCTATGTTTCCAACAGATTGGGAATGAGATGAAAGCTGATTATGAAGAGCACAATGCTATTCTGATCGCTTGTTGCATGATGAAGATCAAGGCCAAGTTTGATACTGAAGAAGGTCTGAACTTCATCCAACAGTATTACATCAATCAAGGACTGAAGAAGTTTGGTGATGATGGAAAGGATGCTGTGGATAAGGAATTGAGACAAATGCTTCTGAGAGATTGTTTCACTCCCAAATTTGTTAGAGACATGACCGCGTCTGAGCAAAAGAAGACCCGATCAGCGATGATGTTACTAGCGGAGAAGCAATTTGAAAAGACAATTATAGGTTGCCTCGTATACCAAGGCGTTGGAACTCGTGAATGGTTATTGTGAGAGGACACCTGTCTTAACATTTTCAATTTCGTTCTCAACACAACAGAACAAATGCTGCATTCTCAGGAACCCTTGTCAACGTCCTCAAAAAATCCAGCTCCACTAGCCTCTGCAACAGGTAGCAGTAGTCTTTGCTCTCTGTCACATTGTAGGCTATTCCTAGCTGAACCCACTATTCGCCACAATTTCGACATTTCGGAACATCTGTGAAGACCCTTAAAAAACCTGTGAAAAATTCACAGAAGTTTCGGAACATCTGTGAAAAATTCACAGATATTTCGGAACATCTGTGAAAAATTCACAGAATTTTTGACCCAGACGACCAAGCATTGCTTGCGCACAACATTAACCGTTTTTTCCTCTACGGAAGTTGTGTGGTGCTTTTACGAAAGGGCATGCGTGCACGCATGTCAGCTGAACGTCTGTTGAAACTTCACGGCAATTTCGGAACATCTGTGAAGACCCTTAAAAAACCTGTGAAAAATTCACAGAGATTTCGGAACATCTGTTGGTCATTCACAGAGATTTCGGAACATCTGTGAAAAATTCACAGAATTTTTGACTCAGAGGACAAAAAGAATAGTCAATTAGGGGAACTATCTGTAATTTAATGAACTACGACCAAAACGCGACGATCACCGACCAAGAATGAATTCCACGAGCAGTGATGATGTCGGATCACAGATCCCCGTGCAGAAGGAGTGAGCAAGCCGGTCAGGCCCCGATTCCGGTTCAGATTCACACCAAAATGAGGAATACCCCAGACAAAAACAACAATGGAACACAAGGTGGATTTTCTGATGAAGCGCTACACATCAGTATGCCCAGACGTTCGCTCGAGAGTCAACGCCGCCACCAGCGAATTGTTCGACGTGAATAGTGACGTGTACGAGTTTACAAGCCTACACGTCATCGACAACACTGGACAAGCGATCGCTACAGGACCGGGACCAGGACTTCCAGCCCCATTTAGAGCTGCCGCCACATACTTCAGAA